AAATATTAAAATCATGATGTATCTCGCTGCATTGCGCGAGTACGCTTCTAGTCTTATTAAGCAAATTTAGCAAAAGTCTTAAAGTCTTAAAATTATAAATGACCAAAATACCCTTTATACTCACTTTTTCACTTTTCACCCCCTCTCTCCTCACATACACTCACACCTCACATACACTCACCCTCTCACAACCCATTTTTTTAAATTATAATTTTAAATTTACACTTTATACCCCTATAATTAATTAATTAATTTATTTTACATCCTTTACTTTTAAATGTTTCATTTTAAACCTTTATCAAATTAACATACATAATCGTATATAAATTAAAACATGTTTAAAAAAATACATTTTCATTTTAACAAGTTACATAATTATAATCGTCTCGTTAATATCTTCGAAATGAGTTTAATATTGAATAGTTTTTGACTTAATTATATTATTATATATTATATATATTGTGAAAAAATATTTTTAATATTTACGATTTATACTTTTATAGTTTTTTATTTATATATATATATTTTGGGGTTAGGCTATCCAAATTGCACTGTATAATATGTTTTGTATTAATATGTTCTTGGGTTTTTTTTGAAATATATATATATATACATGTATTAATTCAACCTTAATATGAGTTTCTGGACAGGAAAAAAGGGTAAACAGTTGAAATTTCATTATAAAACCCATATTTTTTTGTCTTTTCATAGCTTATGATCTGTCAAATTTGTAGTTTTCTTTATTGGTTTTGAGTGTTTATCTTAAAACTCAAGTTTCTTGGTTTTTTGTTCTTGGTGTAAATCGAATACATTTGTGGAATCGTTTAAATATGTTGGATTTTAAATATATTGGATTTTAAACTGTCATGCAATTTTTTTCATCGATAGTCTGTAATTGGAACCATAACTCTTATTTATTCAAATTGTATTAATATGCAAAGACCAAGTGTAACCTATATCATCGTTAAATCTTATCTTATAAAACCAGTGGAACTTCAAAATCGTTAAAATTCATGGATCCCGCTGCATTGCGCAGGTACACAACTAGTATTGTATAATACAGTAAAAATAATGTGCGAACATTATCGCATTTAAATACAGTCGTGATTAAACATTTTGAAAAGTGGATTTTAAAAATATGTATTTAGAGAGAAACGGTTACATGTGTTACTTGAAGTATATCTGTTATTTAACAAATAAGCAAATACACGTTTACACGAGACCAGCGTCAACAAGCTGCGAAAGTATTTATTTATGTCAGTTAAAGGGTTTATGAAATGTTACAAAATCACCGTTCTCCTGCATCAACGCTCTATGGTGCCACCCTGGTAGGTACCACAATGTTATGATTAGTTACGTATGATTAAACGGCATGAAAAGAAGGATGTAGAAGAATACACAACTGGAGAGGATGACGAGCACCTAAAGCTATTAATAAAGTTCTGAAACAGACAGAAGAAGTGAAGAGTATGGGATAAGATTGGCAACATAGATACTTTACAAAKACAACACATGACGATCTTTAATGTTTTTTGTAACTCAATGAGCTGGTTTTGCCACTAACCGAGAAAATAGCTGCATTTGACGTAAGAATAGGGTTGGGTGGGACATTTAGGTTTTGTGGGACAATATCATAYACTGGAAAGATTATAAGACATGATTCATATGAACATCAGTGAGGGTCCGTAGTCTTATGCTCGTCCCCACATATAAAACAAACATATACACGGTACACAAACACACAAACAATGTTGTTTTTTTTTTTGTAAGGGTGTCCGGGCCAAAGCCCGACTAATTCCCGACAAATTTGGAGGCTAAACATGGCCCCACTTAAATGTCGCCAACACTCCCCTCCCAGGGCTCGAACTTAGGTTCATGACTATGCTATGCCCAAGTTTTTACCACTAGGCTGGAAGGTCTTTGACCACAAATAATGTTGTTACTGGTCATGTCGTAAACAAAATAACATGTTTGATACTTACTCCGTTCTGTAACAAGTGTCCACGTTTCTTATTTTAGTTTGTTACAAAATAAATGTCTATTTTAACAGTACTCATCTACTTTTTCATGTATGGCTTTAATTACGAGATGCAAAAAGTTTATCTTCTTATTATCGAGGGTAAATATGTCATTTAGTTGATTAAAATAATTACACATACCAAAACTGTATTGCTTTTATCGTGAACATTTTATTTTGAAACATATAAAGTATTTTTTTGGTTTTTTTTATCGAATACTAATAATTTGTTATATTCATATACAAAACTGAAAATGAATTAAGACCAAAGTAAATAAAAATACAATGGAATTTGATTTGATTCATATGTGAATAACACACATTCAAACAAGTTGAAAAAGGTTATAGAAATCCACTARCAATARTTGAAATTTTGATAAATATTGAGTAAATCGAAGGACAGTTTGGAATTTTGGATTTGATTTTTGACAGACTTATGATTTTTGCCAATTTAGACGACGCGGTCAATTGAGAAATGGAAACAAAAAACATAATGGTTTGGGCGACCTTTTCTTAATTGTGCCATAAAGTTGAATATATTACATGCAAACTAAACATAAGTAATATATGTGCATTTTTGGTGGTCGGTTCAATATAGAACGCTTGGAAAAACGTTCAAACCGYAGGCCAGACTGYAGTTTGACTATTTTTCAAATTGGACCGGACCATCAGACCATTCAAACCGYMAAAAACCGTYCGGTTTAACTTGGTTTGACCGGTTCAACGGTTTTTTTAAACACCAACCATTTTATAATTTTGGAACCGTAGAAATGAAAAATGTTAWTTTTGAAAAACCACAAGGACCAAATTTGTAATTTAATTCCTTTGAAATATCCATCTTATAAGCCCATTTATTARGCCCATTCAGGCCCACGATGACGTGGCAATATAAACTTTCCTAATCGGTGCCTTTGGTGAACTGACTACGCGTAGCTGAGATTTTAGGTCGGTGGGATCCACCGGAAAGCAAGTGTACAATTGTTTGGCACAGAAGTCTAGATTTGAGAGAAATCTGAATCCTGATCACCGGGCGCCGGAGTTCGTTCATCTTGAATTTAGGTTTCTTACCGATATCTCTGTCATTCGATTTCATTTCGGCAAAAAAAATTGGATGATTTTCCGTTACCGTCACTGGAAATCTCGAAATTGAGCCAAGGTATGTACAATTAGTTTCATTCTGAATTCAATAAATCTGGCGAACGTAGTGGGATTGAGAGCAAGGTCGTCGTTAAAGCCAGACCTCACAAACGAAGACGACGAGGATTTCCGGCCTTGGCGTCGCCGGCTATTATCGTCTGTGAAGATGAACGTTTCGTTTTCGTTCACGTGGTCCTCCGCCGTCCGTGCCTCTATCTTCCTTTTGCTTCTCGGTGTTTTTGCTTTTGCTTGTTTCTCTCTCCCTGTAGAAAAGGTTATGCCCCATTCTTAATTTTTGTTACCTGCTTGTACTGTTTTTGTACATTGTTTCGGGTTGAATTTAGAGAGATAGAAACCTTTTTCTCGCGAGGTTTTTGCTTGTTAAGAGAGGGTTTGGAGAATGAATTCGGTGAAATAGACATCAAATTATGTATGAGAGCTCAAATTCCACTTGAATTCCTAGAATATATGAAACTTTTACCTGTTCCTTTTTCTTCTCTATAAATTTTTTGGAAGAACAGTAATGAGAAGCAAATACCATGTATGTGTGTGCTGGCTTGCTGGGGGTGGGGGACAACTTTTGTCTGAGCACTGATCACTTTATCTTCATTCCATGTTTATTTGGGTTTGCCAAAAGTTTTTATTGAGTTTATGCTCTGTATTTGTCATCATTGCAGCTTATATCTTCACCTTATTTTGATGTTGGTATTGGTTTTATTCGATGTGTTTCTGCAGATTTTGAAGGACTTTTTGCTGTGGATTAAGACAGAGTTGGGTCCTTTGGGTCCACTTGTTCTGTAAGGCATTTTTTGTTTCCAATGTATCTTACTATTTAGACATTCTTTCGCAGTGAGTTCCATTCTATGAATTTATCARTTATCTTTCATATTAATTGTTCTAGTACGCTACCAATCAAATATTCTGTCTTATGTTCTCTTTCCCTTCTAATTTGTAGTGCTATTGCTTATATCCCTCTAACGGTATTTGCGGTTCCTGCCTCTGTGCTTACGGTGAGACTGAACTTATTTCTGCTCTTGATTCCTTTTGTAGATACATGAGTTAATCTCTCTATCTCTTTATAAATAACTAAAGAGTTTATCATATGTCCATGTTTTAAGGAAAATACAATGCTTGAGAGAACCAGTGAAGACAATGAGTGGATGTCCCTAGTGATGTACCAAAATATTTAATACATTTTGTATTTTTCTTAACATCTTCTAAATAAGGCAAGTTGTTGTCTAGATGTTAAATAATTAAAGGAAAGCTAATTCTAACCTTACACACAAACTCAATATTGTATCCATGATCAATACTTAGGGGAATGTCATACATGTCAATATCATGAACGAATGCGCCATCAAGCTTGCTAAAGTGTTGGTACTTCATTTAGATAGCCTTGAGATCCTGTTTCAAATCCAACAGAGATGCATCAATTGGCGGGTGTGGTTTCACGGGTCTTTCCAAACAATATATTAAGGGAATGAACATGGAAGACCATCTTTTTCCCTCGTGATGAAGATCTATTGGTTGATCTATGGAGTAAGCATGCCAGAGGGTGCAAATGCTTGGTCTATAAGTAGTATGTAAGAGTGTTAGTGTTGGCCAGCTAGTAAAAATTTATCTGTCAAATTATTGGAATGAACTTCAAAGCGGTTAGTATAGCAAACGTCTTTTGTAATGATTAGTGTGTCCATGATAAGAGTTATGATGTTACTCTGCAAGGTTGAGTTAGGAAACACTGCAATGATAAAAGAGACTATCACTACTGATAGCTATGGCTAGAACATCAATTTTGACTGCTGTAAGTAAATTAATGCAGGATGAGCTTGTTTAGCGACCATGTTGAGTTTCTAATGGAGTCCGTCCGTACGAGAAGGGTCAGCGTACTGTGACTCAAACCATTCAGGATTGACCATGTTTTAGGAGAATGAAAATTTCTGATTGTTGCGACTTTTGACAACTACTCCTTATATGTGAGTGTCTCAATGATGACTAGTAACAAACTATAGAGTGATGAGCACCTTCCTAGCAGTATAGGGATTGACTATTTGAGTGCATCAGTTAACTGTATTTTGCAATGTTCATATTTGTCATTCTGCATTTGGAAATGGTACTCCAGACCACACATGAATTATAAGTCATAGCTGATGTTTAGGTTCTAGTTCTTATCCTATTCRCTCTATGCACTTTCACCGTAACCTGTATATGTGTCCTTGTGTGTTTGTTTCTAACATATGCTTCAGCTTGGAGGGGGGTATCTCTTTGGATTGCCAGTGGGATTTGTTGCTGATTCAATTGGTGCGACTCTTGGTGCAACAGCTGCTTTYCTTGTTGGCAAAACGGTATTTTCCTTGAATGGTTGAACCCAACATTTGATAAGGATGCATATCTGCTTCATTKTAAGACGGACTCCCAATTTCTTATTTTTAAGCACTTCTGGAGGTGTGGAATGATATAATTTGCATTGCCATCCAAGCACTCTGCAAATTGGGTGTCCTTAAGAAAATCATAATCTTTTTTAAGCATATATTCCTTGGACAACTATATCTTATATCATTTTGTCATTTGCTCTTCTATATGCAGATAGGACGGTCTTATGTCATTTCTAAGTTAAGGAAATATCCCAAGTTCCAGGCCATTGCTATTGCAATACAAAGATCCGGCTTCAAGGTCTGATACATCTGCATGTTAAGCTAGCAAATTAATACAAACTACTTTTTCCCTCTGAAGTGCATACCACAGGTTTGGGATATCCTAAATGCGGAACCATATTTGACACCTGAGACATTATTTCTTTCATTCCTCTTTTATTACTTGAAGTGGATGCTTTGTTTATTATTTTTATTTCTTTTGTAGCATATGCCAAAGAAATTTTCATTTTTTTATTGTACTATTCATCAGAATTTCTTACATGAGCCATTTAATATAGTTATTTACTTCCAATTAGATGTCTAATGGTTCTTTCACCTTTTTTCCACAGATTGTTTTGTTGCTTCGCTTTGTTCCCTTGCTTCCATTTAACGTCTTGAATTACCTGTTGTCTGTTACCCCTGTTCGCTTGTGGGAGTATATGTTGGCCACTTGGCTAGGGATGATGGTATGCTMTCTCAAATTTTCAATTAATTTATTTCACGTATAATGTTCTCTTGTCAGCAACCACAATTCAATAGTCAATTCTGTGAGCAAAATTGAGTGAAAGCAAACCAAGCCAAACAAACCTAGTATATCCCACTTCCATCCCACCTGGAAGGTGGGGTTTGTGGAGGATAAGATATATTGACCTCTACTTCAAAGAGTAGAGTGGATGTTTCTGCGAATACCCCTGGCTTGTGAAAAGAGTGACAAATAGGGGCTGTTTGGTTGGTTTTCTATTAAGTCCCGTGTGGATTAATCTATTTCTAAAGATTGGAAAGGTGTTTGTTTGGGAGGCTTTTACATAGATGATGGAGCATGTCTTTTAATTGGGAAGGGCAGGTTTGGAAAAAAAAACTTGGCTTTCTGCATAAAGCTCCCCCCAGAAGCTTACTAGCAAGCTACTTTCTATATCATTAAGCCACTACCAAACAGTCATATATAGCTGACCGAATAAGCGCCGAGTCCCATTAAGATCATTAAACTGCYAACAAACATGCCCTTATGATAAGGTTTTGAAAAAACAGGTTAAGAGTAAGCAATAACATATAGCAAAATTGAGTGAACAAATTGTAATTATCATGTAATTAGCTCTTTTAATCTATATCTTTGTATGCTTGGGGGCTGTTTGGTTGATTTTTCATTAAGTTCTATATGGACAAAGTTGTCTATGTGGATTAATTTGTTTGTATAGATTGGGACAATTTTTGTTTGGGAGGGTTTTTCATGGATGCGAGGAGTATGTTTCTTAATTGGGAGCGGCAGGTTTGGAAAAAACGTGGCTTTCTGCATAAAGCTCCTCCAAAAGAAGCTTACTAAATAAGCCACTTTCTATATCATTAAGCCACTACCAAACAATCATTTRTAGCCTATGTWRTTAATTGCGGTGCTATTGCAGCGATATCTCGGATTGCGGGCCTTTGCAAAATATCGGTCGTCAAATTGCGGTAGCRCAATTAGCGGCGCAATTTACTGCAATTTTTGACTGATATTTAGTGTAAATTTTGTTCGATATTAACGCAATTTTTGRTGGGTTTGATTCTTATTTTCAGTCTTGGGCTTTCRATATTAATTAGCTTCTGTTAAGTTAGTCRAGGGCTTTTTTGGGCTTTTAAGAACTAGGYTTCTGTTAAGAGAGTGCTATAGGGATGATGATGATCACGTTGGAGATGAAGGGGGAGAATGGGAAGAGTGGGAAGCTAGCCTAAACGAAGCAGTGAACGTCTTMGATGATGTTGACTTAGATGTTGAACCTATTGCCTGTGATTAGCTTGTTTATGAACACTTTTCCTATTTTGCAAATGATATGTTTATGTAGGCATATTATATATATAATTATAYATAATTCTAAGAAATATTATATGAACCGCTATTTTTGGACCGCTGTACCACCGCTATTGCACCGCTATAACCRCTATTTCAAATACCGGTCCTGACCGCAATTTTGTATTTTCACYGCTATAACAACATAGTTTATAGTTGACATAATAAGCTGCGAGTCTCATTAAGCTCATTAAGGCGAAGTGAATGCTTTTATAAAATTGTGTGCATGTAATTGTAGATGGACTTTGTTGTGTTTTCTTGGTTTTCCGGTTGATGACTTTTTCTTTTTGCTGCTTACAGCCAATCACATTTGTGTTTGTGTATATTGGGACAACTCTCAAGGACCTTTCTGACGTTACACATGGATGGCACGAGATATCGAGAACTCGTTGGGTAAGACTAATAAGTCTATTGCTTTTGTGCAATATGTTAAACGGTTATATTGTGCGTAGGTGACATTTGATTTTTTTAAAAGTATATACYATTTATTTACAGCAAAACTCACACAGTCGCACACACACTCCTCACCTTYGATCTCCAATGAGGTTGGGATTTGCGGAGGGATGGCAAAAAGCCTTGCACCCTACATGAACCTGATACCTGACCCCGGTTCGACCGGGAATCCCCGAGTTGACYGGGATGGAGATGGGGAATTCCYGGGGGAATCCCCRAATTTATAAACCAGGGATATGGTCGGGGATGGGGATACCCTTCATCCTCGAGGACCTCGACCCCGACCTCGAGCCCAAGTATTACTTACACATTTCTATGTATATATCTATATTTATATACTAAGTATGATAATATAGTGAGAAACCCAATGAGTATATATAAATGTATAAATATAATCAATCTTTTATGATGAAAACTTGTAAAAAGTTTACATTATTAATTTGGTTGTTCATGGGAAACTTTTATTGATATAAAGACTTGATTTTATAGAACTTCAACTAGTAAATATTATAATTGATATATTTGTGTTTGACTTGATTTTATAGAACTTCAACTAGTAAATATTATAATTGATATATTTGTGTTTGACTTGATTTTATAGAACTTCAACTAGTAAATATTATAATTGATATATTTGTGTTTGACTTGATTTTATAGAACTTCAACTAGTAAATATTATAATTGATATATTTGTGTTTGAACTACGTTTTTTTTATGTATTCCTTATAGAAATGCAACAATTAAAATTTGGGTAATTAATATTTTTAGCATTATATGTTGTTTAAACATAAAATTCGTATTKATATACATAATATATATAAAAATATTACATAAAAAATTAAATTGTATAGACGGGGATAATCCCCGATTCCTATAATGTGTACAAACTAAATAAATTCAAGTTCAAGTAGCCAGGACCGGGTCGACATTTTATTATGAGTTACACACTTACATTCCATGATAAATCTATGTCACTCCTTGTTCATTTTATTATTAATAAGCCTATCCTGTAGTTATGCAATTACGGGTGCGTTTGGTACGCGTGACAAGACAGAACAAAAACTTGTTGTCATACGTATGGTATGACATTTAAACTGGGACACGAAAAGACCGAGGGACGTAAATTCATTTTTTTGGGTCMTAGGTGGAATAAARATTAGGTAGAGAAAGTCAAGCTCGGTAAATTACTAAACTACCCGTGTCAAAGGTGGAATAAAAATTAGGGAGAGGAGACTAGATCGGTAAATTACTAAACTAACCTTGTCAAATTAAAACAACCTTGGACAATTCTTTCACTTGCCTGTCTCGTTCTTTCCCATCCGCTTCAAGGATCGTGTTATAAATATACTTTTAGCTAGATGCTGARATATAACTCCAACTTAAATCTGTGATTAGAGTCATATCTGGTCTTACTTTTGTTATAAAGATGAAAAAGAAGTGAAAAGTTCATATAAAATCTGTTTCYCATATTTCTCTCTGATCAATTATTCTGTAAATGCAGATATTTATAGCTGTTGGGCTCATGGTATCAGGTAAATTTATATATTTTCCTCCATTCTTAGAGCATTTTCAACAGATTCTCTATAATTCCTCCAAAATGGAGAACTGAAGTTAAAATCTCAAAAAAGAAAAAGGTTGAATTCAACTCTAACAGTTCCTCCATTTTGAAGATTTCAACATTAATTATATGATTAAAGTATTCAATAGATTTAATATCCTAATGAACTTTGAAATAAACTTTATATAAAATGATAATATGTTCAACCAAATTGATTAGTTTTGGAGATTTTTATCTTGCTTCTTACTTTCTTTCTCCATTTTGAAGAAAGTTTTGGAGGATCTGGAGCAAAATAAATAAATTAAAAACTCTAAAATCTCCATTTTGGAGAATCTGTTGAATATGTTCTTAGAGCATCTCCAAAATTTGTCCAAAATGAAGAATAAAAATTCAAAMTCACCCAAAAGTTTTTGCGATCAACTCCGACAGCTAGTAATTAGATTACTAAAATATTCCATAAATTTATTAAAATATTATTTCTCTCTTTTAGACATTTAAATTCGAAGCTTTTTATTAGTGGGAATATGATAAAAAAGTCTCTCTCCCATAGTAATCATTTTAGAGAGTTTTCCAAATTTGGAGATTTCATATTTTCTCCGKTTTAAAGAATTTGTTGGAGCAAAAAAATCTGTTCAAGAATCTCGATTTTCTTCATTTTAGAGAATCTGTTGGATACACTCTTAGTTAGGATCCACATAAGAGCATCTCTAACAGATTTTTTCCAAAATCTCTAAAACAAAAATAAATTCAACTCCAACATATTCTCCATTTTGAAGATCACAACATTGATTATATTATTAAAATATTCCTTTCATCTAATAAAGTATTTTGTCTCTCTCTAAATATTTATTTTCAAAGTTCCCTRTTGGTGGAAATATATTAAATAATATATTTCTCTCATCGTAATCATTTTTAGGGTGTTTTCCATATTTAAAGTTTTTTACGTCCTCTCTCCCACTTTCTCCATTTTGGAGAATCTACTGGAGCAAAAAAATGCCCAAAATCTCTTTCTCTATTTTGGCAAATCTGTTGGAGATGCTTTAACATGTTCATGTCTGCTTCATTTAATGGAACCTCATGTTTCTCRAATACGACTGATCACATCCTCTGGTTAACATGATAATAGTGTTGATGATCGTTTACATCATTAGAGTTGCGAAAGCTTCTCTAGAAAAAGCATTGGCCGAGAACGGCGCGATAGACGGCATAGATTTAGATTCCCCCGGGCTACCAATTTTAGCCGATTCAGCACTCGGTCTCCATCAACCTCTGATATCCACAACTGCAGATGATCTTGTTTGATTTCACTCCACTTTCGTATAAACTCTTCCCCATCTAGAATAAGGTAAGCTAGGAAAAATCTGCCAAAAATATAGAAAAAAGAAAAGAAAAGAAAAGAAATACCCATCCTACCTACCTTGTTATTATAAACAAGAAATCGATGGAGGGATATCTTGTTGAATGTTGATCGTATCTGAAAATGCTCCATTTTCTCTAAGATTCATAGCTGACCTATCTTTTTCTTTGGATCGGCAATCGGGAAACGGGTATTTTAGATACCGTTGAAGGCTAATTACAATTTACACGCGATGATGGTATAGTATGCWGGCATGGTACATTTGGTTTGTAATTTATGAACATAATTCATGTTTATGTAATTTATTTATATTTCAACAGGCTGCATTTCAGTTCTGCGCAACAAGTGTTGGTCTTGTTAGGTAATCAATTCTTTGGGTTTTCGGTTTCTGTGACTAGGGATGGAGAAGGGGCGGGTAATGGGTGGGGAATACACTACTCATYGCTGCCCCTGTGCGATATTAATCCCTGATGGGTTTAGGAATCTCCACCGGGTACAAACAATGGTGACCGGGCCATGGGTTTTTGGTTGGGACGGGGACCAATTTGGACTTGGTCCGGGGCGATTTTTGGCAACTGGAAGGCATGGTAACYTGTTGGGTAAAGATGTATAAAAAGCCCGAATTGAAAGTCCRGTTCGAGCTAGACCTTAAAGCCYGTTTAGGCCGAACTTTTGGGGTGGCAACTGAGGCATGAAAACATGTTGGGTAAAGATGATTGAAAAAAGTCCAGTTCGAGCTASACCTTAAAGCTTGTTTAAGTCGAACTTTTGGCTAGGTTAGGTCTAGGCCTAATCCAAACTTTTGGGTCTAGGTCCAGTCGAAAATAGCCTGAAAAGGCTCCTTTTCAACCCTAAAACCCAACCTAGGTTRAGAAAAGCCTGAATTGTGTGTTTGACTTGGTTGTTTTGGAATTAACGATAACGATGAAATTACTAATTTTTTATTTTCTTTATTCAATTTACAAATGCATTTTTAGAAATGAAATAAAAGATAATCCAAAATATTAGTTTTTACTACATATTTTATAACCAAAATATATGGGAYGAAAGATTGTGTGAAAATAGGAGTTATGAGAAGCATAAAAAAAATATGAACTCCTGATCACTATTAATCTTACTCTACCTTATGAACTGTGCATTTGTGCTTATCACATGAATTGATTTGGTGCATCGAATTATTGCTGATTTTCAATTATGAATGATTTAAGAGTGAAGATCTCTTCTTAACATTGTCACTAGAAACCAACATAACATATGGTCCACATAAATAGTTCCATATCAACCTAGCACGTAATTTTAAATTGCAGTAACTCTGACATAATCTATTCGAGATGATTAGCGGGAGATCGACATGCGATTGGCAAAAAATCGGCCACATGATTAAAGAAAATGACACTTTTTTTTTCTTCTTCACACTTGTTTAAAAAGTATGTTTTTAAGTATATAATAATTATATATGATAAATGATTCACACACCCTCACAAGTTTGAACCCTTGATCTTTTAGAAAGCCAAATAACTTGTAGCAGGTATGCATATTTTAGGGGAAATTTAATTGTGCATCCATGTAGAGATGGCTAAAAATCAGTCTTGAGTAGGCCGGTCCCGGTTTTGATAAAAAGTTCTAGGACCCCGATCTAGGTCCGGTTGCCAGTCTCGTCTCCATCAAGCCGGTCTCAAATCTGGTATCGGGCCTAACTTGGTTTTCTTAAGAATACAATTCGTAAAATATTTTTATAAAAAAATGTTTATACCCATGTTTTACGATTAGGATATTTGAAATTCCGTATTGAAAATATGAGATTGAAAAACTTAAATAACCTTGAATTTTTTAAAGAACTTTTAAATGAATTTTTTTTTGTCTGAAAACCTTGTTAAAATCTTAAAAACTTGTATTATAATTCATAAAACGTAACTTTAAAAAAAATTGTGCCAAAACATAACCAGTCCCATAACGAGCATTGAAATCCCATAAAAAATATAACCAGTTTCGAACCGTTAGACCATAACTCGGCGGCCCAGTCGATACCGGATTGAATCTAATTTGACCCACTTTACATCCATGAAAATGTAGGGTTACGAGTGCACTAATAAACAAAGAGTTGTTTTTTCCCCAATAATTTAGGGGCAACTTTGTGGACGTTTTATCAAACTTTTTTATACAATTTGGGAGGTTTTTGGAAAGATTAATATTATGGGGGTGTTTTGTGAAAATATGTATACTTAGAGGACCCAAATCTCCTAAATCCCCAATATATCCACACAAGGAACATCCCGCATACGACTGCATCGGCATCACACCATATTCCCCCATTTCWGCTGATTTATTTCTGGGGATCTGATTTTGATCACCTTCTTTCTTTTACCTTCAATAAGTTTTCAGCTTCCATCATCACTCAATCTCCAACCGATCGAAACTATTCAATCATGGCCACTCCAGATGTCTTTTTGCAGGGCGAACATGATGTTTTCTCATCCGTTTCTCCGTTTGATTATGCCAAAGGTACCAAAACCCTAAGTTTGTCGTCGTTTCTTGATTGAGAGTCGAATAACTTTAATTATGTGTTTATTTTGATTTGAAGCTTCTTTTTTGCTGGTTTTTGGATTGAAAATTTGTGTATGTTTGCAGGCGATGCGAAATCCCGAGGATTTGCGATTGAGARAAAAATCGAATATCTTGAGAGCTTGAACGACAGAGTAATTTAAATTTATCTATTCCTTCTTYAACTTTTTTAGGAGTCGAAATTTGTACTTCTTATTGATTGTATAAAAAATACCGTACTTATTTATGATTGAATTGATATAGTGACTGACAAACCCTTATATACTGACAAATTGGGTTTGAATAGTTCTGGTTTTAGATTTATTGCGATCTTGCTGACTAGTTATTGAGGTTCGGTATGCTGAGTTACTTATTTATCCTATTTTGGAAGTTATATGATTGGATCTTGTTTGTGGYATTAAAGTTTGATGTTGTTGTGAAATAGTAAATTGCAGGCAAGTGACCTGAGCTTTARTCAGCCATTTCTTGTCATATGTATTGTAACTTACATTATGTGGGGGTTTCATGAATCCTGAACTATATTTGTGGGTGGGGGGTCATCGCTATAACTATTTCCAAAGTCCTTCTGTAAGTTTATGAGTAAAAGGGATCATCATCCTATACTTAATTTTCTTATATACATATGTATATTTTGTGTCTATCAACTCGTATGCAGCATATGAAGTTTGGGGACTGGAATAATCCTTTCTAACTTTTAGTAATTTTTATCTTTGTGTTTAGGATCACATGTAATGTAATTTTTGATTACTATATGATCACTCTGGTTGGTAGGAACATTTCTCCATTATGGTTTTTGAAATATTATGTGGTAACACACATCCATTTCTTCYCAGGTTAGCAACAGACGAGCACGTAGATGGATAAATGATCGTATACTCTTGGAGCTTGTACCTCGTTTGAGCGGAGATGAGATTAGAGGCTTGTTTGCTCCACCACCTTGGGGTAAGGCACACATACATACATATATATGCATGCATACATACACATATACATATACATACACATATATTTGAGTAATAGTGGCTTGTGTAGTTGTGTTTTCTTTTTTTATATGTACTAGAATAAAAGGCACATCCGTTGCACATGATAATGTATGAATGTTGTCATTTAAATAAATTAAAGTCGTTATTTTAATTGAGGTAGGTAAAAGTTAGTTTTTAGTGAAATGTATTAGTAGATAAATGGATGAATGCAATTCTATAAAGATGAGTCTATGCAAAATAGGACTTTCAAAATTTGCATAAATAGCAACAGAACACAATGAATTGAAGAGTTGTAACTTCAATTCTGTTACAGAGCTAACCAAAAGGACGTGAAAATTATCGGCKCAAATGTTTTTGTACTAAAATATTGATAGGATGAGGTTTGTTGTTATGGAAAGATATTCACCAAAACACTTCRTATGTACGATATCTATTTTTCTTTCTTTGGTTGGCGAAGTAAGATTTACCTCCATGTCATGCTCYTTATTTGCTATATCTGGATACATGATATGTTGTTAATTTGAGGCTCATTTTACAGGTGATGATGTACGACCGTCGCCATTTTGCATGACAAATTTGGGGGAGTGGGACAAATTTAGGAATATAGACATGGATAAAGAGGTTTTCCACTTCTCTTGTTTTGCCGGTCCTTCCGCTGATTATACTATAGTGAAGAAAATGATTTCCTATTCTCATGTTTTTACTGACACTATGCCAATATCCTGTTCATATATGAATTTAGGAGTTGTTTGGTTGGTTTTCCATCAAGTCCTGTATGGATAAAGTTGTCTGTGTGGATTAATCTGTCTATATAGTTTTGAGATTTTTTTTAATGTATGGAAGGAGGTTGTTTTTTAAGTGGGAGGGGCGGTATTGGAAAAAAACTTGGCTTTCTGCATAAAGCTCCCCCTAGAAAGCTTACGGAATAAGTCACTTTCTATATCATTAAGCCACTACCGAACAGTCATGTATAATTGACCGAATAAGCTGCATGTATAATTGACCGAATAAGCTGCGAGTCTCATTAAGCTGCTAACAAACAAACCCTTACTTTGCCTCCCGTTTTCCCTATGGCCTTTGATTTGGTAGGTTGGCTTGAAGGAAGTTCATATTATTGCAAAACGAGAATAATATCTTATTATCTTTATTTTTGCTCTTATTTAGTTTCTTTCTTTCTAATATGGACCTTGCCTTCTTCATGATGTAAATATGCTTCAGCCTTCAAAGTTTTTGTTCTCTTTGGTAGGCTGGTGCAATTGAGGCCCTTAAAGGTTCTTCATCCCAGAAGAAAAGTTGTGGGGATGTCGATAAGATTGCCGCCTTGACTGCATGGCACAGGGTGGATTGCAGAACTAGAGATGCATTCCGCCGAAGCTTCCTTCCTGAACTTGTTCATGGTTATGAGGTATTTTACACCTTTACCATGTTATACAAAAAAGTTGACTTTTCAATGAACTTTTCCGCTTGTAAAATGGTTATGCTTATTTTTTCGTGGATATTATCGTATTTTCACACACTTGTCACAAGCCGAGCGTCGTTGTGGAAACTACCGCTCTACCCTTTAAGGTAGAGCTACATCTTCCTTTCGAGGCCAGGTCTGCCTACCCCCCCCAAAACAACAAAAAAAGGACCACCTCTGGATGAGTATCCGATTATTTTCGAATGTAATGTCTTAAATGCCTTCTAATCATGACAAATTAAGGTACYGTTTGGTTTGTAGGGTTGAATAGGATTTGGAATTCAATTCCATTTCTAAATRCCATGTTTGGTTTGAAGGATTTCTTGCATTTGAAATCCCACAAACTTGGTATTTAGAAATCCCATGAGAGGTTGTTGGTATTTCGCCGGATTTCGTAGGATTTGTGTGTAATAGTGTTTTAAAATATGTTGAAAAACATTTGTCWTCTAATAATCAATTAATAAAAGGGTAATTTAATTAATTYTATAATCATTTATATTYTATTTTTATAAAAAATGGAATTTAGTTCYATTCCAAATCCTACAAACCAAAYAGACCAATGATTCCAAATCCAAATCCTCAAAACCATTCCATCAAACCAAACCCCCCGTAGGAGAATCATGGAGACCCATTGATGTTTTTTTCTTTATGTAATGACGACAATGGCTAGTATATAATTTTAAGTGCAAAAACTTCCAAGAACGAAAATGTCGTGAGTTCATGTTACACATCCCATGGGATGAGGTGAGGTCTTTACGAAAACAACCACTTTACTCTAGGTAGAGGTCAAGATTGCATGCACCCCACTCCTGGACCCCACCTCTGGGTAGGACATACCGGGCTTGTTTGGTTTATAATATATTATATACATGGGATGGAAGGAGTAGGATCTTACCAAAAAGAACACATTTTTGACGAGTTTTTCTTGACRTTTATCTTTTTTCTTGTTCTCCACTTAACCTAGCAATTATGTATTGGTTTCAGGAGAGCATTCGGGCCTTTGTCTCAGAGGCAGCAGGCAAGGAGGTTCTTGTGTTGTATGTCCAAGACTCTTTCCATAGGTTGTTACTTCATGGTGTTTGCGAGGTAATATTTAAATCTATTTCAKATTTGTTTCATTAAGAATATGGTTTCGGTATCAATCTTGATTTTGGATGTTTTTTAAGGGTATGTTTGGTAGGCAAGGCTGGACATAATAGAATAAAAACTTGTTGTCTCTAACATGACAATTAGACTGGGACAACAAAGTGACAAAAATGCTGGTTTTTGTCCTACCCAAAAATAGGAAGATAGACAAGATAGTTRAATTACTAAACTACCCATGTCAAAATAAAATTTTAAAAAACCTACTGCTTTCACCTGCCTACCTAGGGTGTAAACGAGCCGAACCGAACCAATTAGCAGGTTATTCGAGCTCGGCATGAAAAATTAATATGAGAGCTCGATTAACTTTTTCAAAGTCGGGCTCGAGTTCGAGCKCAAGTGTTTTTCCAATCTTTGAGCTCGAGCTTGATATCTTTTAACTYGTTTTTTGCTCGAGTTCGATGATTTTTATATTTTAATTATATAATTTGTAAACATGTAAATATGTTTGACTMAAAAAATGTAGTCGAATAACTCGGCTCGGCTCGTAAAGTTTAATCGAGCTTTTGAATGAGTTGAGTCAAACATTGGTGTTAGGGARCTCGACTCGTTAAGTTAAGCGAGCTTTATTTTTGTTAGAAATCAACTCGAGCTCGCAAGTTACTCGAGTAGCTTGTTAAAGCTCAACTCGTTTACACCCCTAYGCCWACCTCCCTCTCATCAGTTCCTTCTCGTCCTGTCTAGTCTTGTCCGTGTAMCAAACGCACCCTAAACGTTGACATGAAAAATGAAGTATTGTGATCTAGTTTTWGAACGATAAAACAATAAATCCGTTAACGTTGACAGTTCTACAACTTGGTCTCAATAACGGAGTCAGAAACRAAAGGGACAAAGGTTTCGAAAATGACAAAGATCAAGAAGAAGAAAAYGGGCAATAACGAGCTCCCAACCATCACACTTTGCCAGTTTCTGAGAATGGCGAAAGACGGGTTCTGGTAGACGCATTGGACCATCCGATCGTTTATCCATGTAAATAGCACAAGTTTGTTGTACCGTCTAATTGTTATCCAGATGTAACTTATTTATGTTCCGAACTAAACGAACCCAGTATATCASACACACAGATTTCGGGTTTGTTTTTTGAATAAATTGTGTGTAGCTGGTAATATGGAGGAAGTGCCAAAGGTCTTTGGTGGTTAAGCTTCACTTCAAATGGTGAAGTCCCCTTTGGGGACTTCAGGTCTTTGGATCAAATTATGTTCCATTTGTTTACTTAGTTTATTTATCAAAGTCCAAAGATATGTAATTTTTTTTAATTGTTATAATTATAGAAACATTTGATTTCATATATTTTGTTTTTTTTTTATATACGACAAATACAACAAATAAATTCACACCCCCTCCTCATCTTTGATGGAGTTTGAACCCCTAATCTCTTAGAAAGTCAAAGACTACAATACTGTTAGGCCAAAGACTCTTTGGTTATATTTTGCATTTGTTAGATGTGTATTTTAGATGTTTGAAATGTACTAAATATTTTACTCCAATTGTGTACAAGTCAAAAGGGTGTAATATTTAAATCAAAATGCATAACACAAGTTTGTTCTGGTTTTTAGGGTTGGGTTTACGTGAGATCARTCTGTTTTCGTGAGATCYATRAGACYACYTTTTTTAYATTTGAAACTTCACARCAAAATAYTGTGAAGGTAAAAAAAA